AGGAAGAAAGGCCGTAGCATGCAAACTCACCCCTCATTTCAGCTGGGAGATCACTGGTCATTATAGCTTCATTGCTCTCCGGCGAAAACTTGAATGCATTTTTTGCACCAGTGGTGCTTGTGGCCCCATCTGTGCCTGTCGCAAGTGCCTCGCAGTCTTTCGTGATACACTTCTGGCTGCACCAGTGCTCGGGGCCAGTATACTGGTACTCATCCCACTTGCCATCATTATAGTCATCATCCTGTCTCTCGCCAGGGCGCCTGCACTTGCAGGTGAAACTTCCCATACTTTCAGGCCCTGTAGGCTGGCACTTTAGTTGTCGCAGGGGTCTGATTACTCAGGCCAACACTGTGCCATGAATGGCTTGATGCAAGGAACGCCGGCCAGGAGTCACGATAGCGTCGCCTGCCGAGGAACCCTGGCAGGAGGTGGCGCGCCGCAAAGGCAAAGGCAAATCCGACAAGTCTGGAAGTGGCACGAATACGCCACAACCCCCGGGCAAAGGATCCTCACCGACCACACCCTCGCCAACTCGGCCTGCCAAGGATGGGACTGCGAAGAACGGGAGGGATCCCAAGCCCAATGGAGTCGATAACCCCAGAAAGCGCAAAGGCCAGCAAAAGGGAGGACGCAAAGGCGGGCCTAAGCAGGAGGTTGCTCAAACCGGAAAGAAGGAGGATCGATCCCAGACTGAACGATGGGCTATCCGAGCCGACGACTGGCATGCCAAGATGATCAACCTTGAGGAGCTTGGCGACTACAACGGCGCTGGCGAGTCCTTGCCTTGTTTTTGCGCGGGACGACAAGGAGGCGAATGTATCCAGTACGATGGCCAAATCTGGTGCCTTGCGCTCATCGGTTCTGATTGTTTGGCCGGACGTCAAAGGCAAGTTCACGGTCACCGGTCTCGCGCTGCCCTGCCTCAACGGCGAAAAGAAGGACATAAACAAGGTGGCGGTTCAAGAGACGGTTGTCCTTCGCGTTGCTCTTGTCAAGAGCATGGCCCCTCGTGACGATTGGGAGCAGGCGAACACGAGCCTCAAGAGGTTTGTTCAGTCGCAGGTGCAGGACCTTTGGGGTGGAGCCACGGAGCAGAAGCGAGGCGAAGCCCTGCATGGTTGCTCTTGCTAGACTCCCGAAGGCCAGCGTGGAGCAGGCTCTTGCCGGCAGCGGCACCAACGGCCTGCTCTGGGAGCTTGTGGCTCGCAAGCGAGGCTGACTACCTCAGACGGGCGTTAGCGCTCAAATCCACGCTTGGGTTAGTGGTGGGCAAAAGGCAACTTGGCGAACGCGTCCTTTACGAAGTTGCTGACGCGGCTCGCTGGAACGCCACGTGAGTGGACGCAGGACACGGTGGGCTGTTGCAAGGCACCGGTCTCAACAACCTCACTGACCAGCCGCATTCGCGGGAGGGCGCTGCCACGTGGTTCCTCCGAGCAGCGTGCAAAGAAGATATGGTGGTGCTCAACGTTGAAGTGGAAGGCAAGCACAAGGTGTACTACGTCCTTTCCGACTGCCGTCTCCAGACAAGGCTCTGGCGCGCCAGCGGCTTCGTCACGAAGGTGCTTTCGTCTTTCGCAACGAGACCTTTAAGGTTGGTGCTGCTGTAGGTGACGGAGCCGTTTACCACAGACGACAAAGGCAAGGAGACCAGTGCGTCCAAGAGACAGGCGCCTCAGCAGAGGCAGCTTCTGGAGGGAGTTACTCTGCGAGCCGTCGACCGTGATGGCAATTGCCTCCTGACGGCGATTGCTAAGGGCATTGCTTGGAATAGAAGCACCGACAAGGCCGCTAGCCTTATATGATCAGGACGGCCACACAGCCAGGTTCCAAAAATATTTGTTTTGCATATGTTTTGCAACTTCGTCTGCCGGCCGAAAATTTGGGTTGCATGTTTTTGTATATTTTTTGCATATTGTTTGCAACTTTCCTTTTTCCTGAAATTTTGTTTGCATATTTGTGCATGTTTTTTGCAATTATTTTGCTTATGTTTTTGCGTATTTGTTTGCTTATTTTTTGTTTATTTTCTGCATATTTTTCTGTTTTTAGGCACGTCTGCAGGTTGTGTTTGGCAATGGTAGTTAGCTGAATTTGCTACTTGATTCAAGGCTACCCGTTGCACGATTGTGGCAGTCTTGTTTCCATGGGCTGTGTGTGTTCAGCTTGAATGCTGTGTATTAGACAAATGGCCTGTGTATTCGATAATTAAACACACAAAAGCAAATCCGAGGCTTTTTTGGGGGGGCAGGGATGGGTGGGCTGCGGGGGAGTTTGGGGGTGTGAAGCAGGCCCAAGCGCACAGCCGGGAGAGATTGCCAGGGGCTGTTTGGGCTTGGTTGGGGGGCTGCCCCGGGACTGGGCTCCCGGGAGTGCCCTGGCCTGCCGGGCTTGCTGTGTGTCAGACCCACCAAAAAGTTGCAAAAAGGACGCAATGTCTCTGGGAAGCTGCTAAAAGTTGCAAAAAGGACGCAATGTCTCTGGGAAGCTGCTGGGAAGCACCAAAACGCAGAATCCTCGAGACATTTGCAGCTTTTTTGCAACATTTTTGCATTTTTGTTGATTTTTACACCACAGTTGCAAAAAAGTTGCAAATGTCTCGAGGATTCTGCGTTTTGGGGCTTCCCAGAACATTGCAGCTTTTTTGCAACTTTTTTGCAATTTTTCTGCAAAAATCAACAAAAATGCAGAAATGTTGCAAAAAAGCTGCAAATGTCTCGAGGATTCTGCGTTTTGGGGCTTGCCAGGGGCTTCCCAAGACCAGTGCACTTTTTTGGGCACTGTTTTGCAGCTTTTTTGCAGCTTTTTCGCCCACAAAATTTTGCTTCCGACTGGGCTTGCGACTGGGGCAAAGGCAAATGGTGGGTGGCCATGGAAAGCTAACAAAGTCGAGCGAAACCAAGTTGGCCATCTCCAAACAATTTTTCTCGTCGTGCACGGAGTCGGGGTTGGCAGGGGGAGCAGAGTGTCCTTCTCTTGTTTCGTTTCGGTGTATCACTGGTGTGTACGATTAGGAGGCGCTGCAGATGTGACAATGTGATCTCATAACCTTACGAATTGAAGCAAAGTGTTGTGGTCGCCATTCTTTATGAAATGATAGCGATTGGTTCGAGTTAGTCGGTAACCTAATGTGTTGATTTTCTTTGTGTTTTTAGTTATATCAGAAAACTCTTCAAGAAATACAAAGAAAATAAAGCATTTTTGTATTATATATTTCGAAATACGAGAATGCTTTTTGGGGTAAAAAAAGGATTTTGGTAGCTAAAAAGGTATACAAGCTCAAATGCAACAAATATGCAAAACATATGCAAAAAATGTGCAAAAAAACTGCAACGTGCCACGGCTCCGAAAACCCCAGTTGCAATCCTGTGCCCCCCCCCCAGTTGCAAATAAAATGCATACATGTTGCAAAAATAATTATCTTGTCGGTGAATCATTCTGTGGCTGGCTCCCAATCATACAACGCTAGCCACCGCCAACTCAGACAAGAAGGATGTCTTCGACCCGTTCTGGGACAGATGCGACACGAGTGGCACTCCTGAGAAGCTCGGTGGATGTGGCGCTAGCACAGCAATGGTGTCACGCCTACTTTTCCAACAGACAATGTCCGGCACGGCAAAATTTAAGCGAGAGAGAGCCAGAATCCGCAACATGTGGAGGGAGCTTCTAGTTCGACGGCTCACAAAAGAAGTGCTGGCACATGCCCAGTTCTTTAAAGATGAGCAGCGCGGAGCGCGCCATCAACCCCGCTAGGATGCTGCAGCTCAAAACAAGGCCCCACGGAGGCTTTGAGCCATTTGAGCCTTCTTGGCGGTTGGTCTCGGAGGCAGAGTGCCTGTGGCACCGCAGAGCGGCAGCAACACGCGGGCAGCGCCAGTTCGAGGCGGACCGCGACGACCACTAGGGTGAGGTCAGAAGAAGATGTGTTTTCGAACCGGCTGGCTTCAGGAAAATTTGTATCAAGTGTCAAAAGCTAAAGCTCGGAAATGCTTTAAATACACATGTGCAGCCCGTGAACACTCACCACTACATATTTTGCATACATTCCATCCATTACATACATTGCATACACTACAGACATTACATGCATAACATACATTACAGACATTACATACTTTAATGTTGTACGTATGTACATGCATAAGTTACGTCTCAGTGCATTCCACTACCTTCCGTTACATGCCATTACATGCATACATACACACATACATACATACTTACACAGGCATACGATACAAGTGACGTAAAGTTACACGTGGTCTAACGTAACGTATTCATCCATTGCTCGGTCTGTCTATGCACCAACTTTCTTACATACTTATCCATCCTGTTAGAAAGCTCTTCTTCTCATTGTAACATGAAGAGTGAAGAGCAACGTCCACTAGCAAGGCGGTAGAGCCTGAGGCTACATCTGCTGTGGGTTTAAGGACGCTTTGCTTGGGAGGGTTTATTTGCGGTAGCCACGGGACCAACAAACTAAGAAGTTAGTAGCGGAGCAGGCACGAAAATTCCGGCGATTTGTTGTTGCAAGAAGAAACTTGTTGGCCAATTCTTACATTGATGAGTTCTTACAGTATGCCTTTGAACGATCTCTTCCAAACAGCAGCGCAGTTTGCACGACATTTAGTTGGATATATCGCCCGCGTTTATGGCTAAATCCCTGTTCGAGCTTGTTGATCCGACAATCCGTACTGCTAGGACTTATGATCTGTTTGATTAGTTAATTGATCATCGGTTTTGGCTTTTGATCTTTTGTTTTGATCCCTCAGCCACAAATCAAATAATTTCCGACCACACAATAAGTTTTGGATCGGCCCTGTGGCACGTTCTAGCTGGCCGCGTCAGGCTCTGCTACAACTTTATCCAGCATCCGGGCCTTCAGAATCATCCGTGTTGCACGTATCCTGAGAGCCGTGCGAATCGTCAAAGTCCTCCGTTTCGTGACGGCGCTGAGAACATTGGTCACCTCAATATTTCATACACTCAAGTCCTTGTTCTGGGCGATGGTGTTGCTGGTGCTCATCGTCTATGTCTTTGCGGCACTTTTTTCGCAAGCGATTCACGACCACATGAATTCTGCGGGTGATTCAATGGATACGGAGGACATGGAGGCACCGGGTTTAGGGTTTACGGTTTGGTACATCTGATACCAGAGAATCGGAAGCCATGGTGTCGCAGAATTATGCGATTTGTGAGCCGTTGTAGTGTGTTGTAAGTACCGCAAACCCTTACTACCCAAAGCTTTGATTCGGTAATGCCACAGCTAAGACGCTGCCCAAAAATATATTATGCCAACCCGGTCGCCCCACAGTGCCATTGTGGCAATCCCCGAATCATGTTCGACGTGGCAACAGTGAGGAAGTGATCACAGCAGTAAACGGCTGGTGCCTGATTTCGAATGTGTTCCGATGGACAGGGAAGCATCGTGTTCATAAGTCGATACACACATAAGTATATGTTTTTGTTTCCGTATACATACAGACAAACACAACACATTCACACACATACACATACACATAAGCATACGCATACACATACGCATGCGCATACACATACACATACAAATACACATACGCACACACACAGAGCACACTGGCTGGCATGTATCTGGCACTCGGCAGGCCGCGCGCCGCTATTTTGGGTCGTTGGCCTACACCATGCTCAGCCTCTTCATGAGTATCTCTGGTGGTGTGAGCTGGTTTGAAGTCATTCGTCCCCTCGAGGCAGCTATCCCATAGTTGGTCAGGTTTTGTTGCTTCATCGTTATGCGACAGCGAAACTAGGAGGAGCGCGCTGGTATGTGCTGGTATTTGCCCTTCTTCTGCCTCTCCCTGTCAGGCGATCTCCCTCGGATGGGTCTTTTGCTTTCTATTTTATGTCGCCTGGCCAGTTCAGCAGCCCTTTGTTCCAGCAGAAGATCGCCAGGAGAAAGAAAGGTTATGTAATGAGTCATGAGTCTCAAAGTTCTTCTCGCCTCATCTACAAAATCAACAACGCCTCAGGTGAGTTTTACGTACTTCGCTGTGCTGAACGTCGTGTCCAGACCAGCATTATGAGGGCCATTGCAGCCAGACCCACACCTACTCAGACAAACACGCACATGTTAGTGACCTCTGCCGCTCCACCTTGACATACGAAGGCCTCGATCTGAAGATGACTAGGTTTCGAGACATATGTATACGCCACTGAGGGCAGGCACCTGCATAAGCATTTCAAAACATACTTTAAAACCCACGAAGCGGCAAGGCATGGATGAAAGACTGTGGGTTTAGGGTTTAGGGAAGCGTTAAGCTCAAGATGAAAGGCCGAGGCTTTCTGTTGACCTCCCATTGGCTCGGTGCTCTCTCCAGCAACGCGTTTTCGTGTGAGATTCTGGCCCGCTGTTTCGGAGGCTTCGAAGATCCCACTACATGCAGCAGAAGTCAACTCGACAGCTGATAAGCCCTGACATCATACCGCATCATACCGGATATCCATCCAAAACACCGAAGCGAAGCATGTTTGCCGATATGTGTCCAGGCACAGCATCCCGGAATATGTGTTTGTTTCCTTTTGCCATCGTGCTTGCTTTGCCAAGGTAACCGCGGTGTTTTGTCAAGTTGCCATAGATAGTGCACAACAAGACCATGCGTCGGTCATCCAGTCCATCCTCGAAAACAAGGAGACTGCGGCCAATCGCAATGGCTCGGTTTCGATTTGTGTGAACTTCAGAGCAGGTCATGGTCAGGGTGCACTATTCGTCGGCAGGGACAGCGACTGGGGCCTTCGGACTGCACGGCTTCGCCAATGATGTAGACGCATAAATGTGGAGGGAGTTTGCATGGCGGTCCTCATCAGATCATAGAAAGGTGAGCTTTTAGTACAATGATGCAGGTCTCGCGGATTGAAGCCCCTTTGAAAACCCCAGAAGGATGGACAACTACCACCTCGTCCTCCTGTTTTGATAAGAATCTTCGGTCGTACTTCGAGCCATGCCTAACCATGGTCTTATGCAAGCAACGCCTTGGCATGAGAAAAGAGAACCAGCGAAAAAAGTGAGTGAGGGAAGCACACCTCCAAGCCAACTCCAAGCCAAGATAGCTTACGAAAAGCCTGTCATGCTTCAGACTTGCGGGGTTCACAGTGCAAGCCATGCTTCCGCGGCGTTCAAGGTCTTCTCCATGCCGCGCCTCCCTCTCCCTCTCGCTTTGTCTCCCTGCAAGCTCCCTTTGTGATCTTTGATTGCTGCTCGCATGTTTCAGACTACTCAAGCTATTGTGCTGGGATATGACGACGACGGGCGGTCTGAGACTTTGACAGAGGACGCATAGAGGCGGTGCATTCAGTGCCTTCAAAAGTTCGAAGCTTGGGTCGCCGAAGGAGGCCCACCTGGAGAAGATTCGTCGACTCTTCAGCCAGTTCGGCGGGGAGGACGACGAAAGAGTGACCAGCAGAACTCCGTTCCACGGTTTGGAGCAGTTTGGTGGTGCTGCGGACTTGTGCGTTCAGTTCATAACAATAGCTGCATGCATTTTGCAGTCGCATTGCACGTGAAGCCATGAACCAAGAATTCCCGAAGCTGCTGTGGGCTTGCAAAAATCAAGCCACCGTGCGAGGACTGCACGACAATTACTTTTGCGATGTCCCGGCCCCGGAATGATGGGGCATTATTGGGCTTGGCCTTTCGGAATAGAGCATCATAGCCTTGGCATGCGGGTTATAGCATCGCAACGGCATTCCTGTGTGCAACAGCGACGGAGGCAAGCTTTGCTAATTGCTGTCACGACAACTGCTGCTGCTACAGCTGCTGCTGCCACTGCTACTGGCACTGCCACTCACTGCCACTGCCACTGCTCCTGCTCTTGCTTCGCTGCTTCTGCTGCTGCTGCCACGCCACACCATCACCACCACTACCACCACCACCACCACTGGCTAGCACCACCATGACGACGGTGAAGGCTGCCTCTGCTACAGCTACGAATGCTGCTGCTGGCCCAGCTACGGTTTAAGAGGTTGACGCTAAGATAGGGTCGATTTCACGTCTTGCGAGTCGGCTGCTTCTGGCTCAACAACCAGCTCTCAGAAACGAGCTTCTTCTGAGCAGAAGGCCGGCATTCTGAGCTGAATTGAACTCAATCCTTTGCCGAGGTTTGAGGAAACGATCAAATCGCCAGAGGTTCGCGAGTACTTTGAAAGCTTGGGCCTTGACATCTGGGACGCATGGTCGTTTTTCAAGCTCTTAGCTTCTTGGTGGCAATCCTTATCATTGCTTGCTTGCCTTGTGGAAGTGTCGAAGCACAAACCAAGTCCGTCAGTGTTCAGGGTTAAGGTCGAGGCAATGCCAAGAAGCAACAAAGGATCTGGACGCTGGTGGTGAGGTTGAGATCGACGAGTTCCTGATGGGATGTTTGCGTTTGAGAGGCAATGCGCGGGCTGTCGATGCACTTGGCCTCGAACTTATACTCCAACATAGGACGTGGTTTATTTGCCTGGACACGTTTCAATGATGCTGTCCCATTTACTTGTCGTCATGTGACAACGGGTGTCGGTCTAGCAGCTAGCATTCGTCACGAAGGCTCTGCCATTGCCGCTACTTGGTTCTAGCAAGCGCGATGCACTCCCACTACCGGCATGAACTTCGCTCCGGTTTCACACCCAAGGTTGGAAAGCTTATCCACGATCAGACCTGGCTCATCAAAATGTTTGGACGCTTTCAATGCCACGTGGAGGATCAGTTGTCTCAGCTGAGACTTGACTGCAGCCGAGCCATGATTTGTCGGTTGCTTAAACTGTCCAGATCCACCTTCGGCCCCTGTATCGTCAGTCAGCCAGCTGCAGTACTGCCTTCCCAGCACTCAAGGACTGCAGCGCTCTCAGTGCCGTTGGGATCTGACGGCGTTGAGACAGTATGTGACGACCAGGGCTCTGGATTTGGGCCCGATGTTGCTTGCACGCCTTTGAAGCACCATCAGATTGCCTCAGAAGGGCTGCATCAAGTCATGTCGGTGCACTATCCGTGAAAGCTAGCGTTCTCACTAGCCCCTGTGCTCCTGTAAAAGGAGTGAGTTTAGAGCTTTTCTCGAATTCGCAAGTGTGCAATTTTACCTCAGCAGCGCTTTTTGCATGCCATGTCCCCGCATGTGCCTGCCTGTTCCTGCATCATACTTCTGCCAGGGTCAGTGGGCAGCCTTCAAAACCTCACTGCTGATACAACCAGAGACTGTAGCAAAACATGTTCTGATAGCTGCCCAGTACATACCCGACATACCCGTCAGCAGCCTTGCATGACAGACCCTTGTGTGCAAGATTCCATCAAAATTGCTGCTATTTCAGGGGTTTGTCCGAGCGAGCAGGGAAGATAGGCCGGGCGCCAGGCGATGTACTGGCAGGGGATTTATCAAGGAGTTTGATGTTTGTAGAAATACCAAATTTTGGTTGGGGAAGTATCATATAATTTCGCTTTATCGCTTTTATCAAGATTTATTTGCTCTCAAACCGCGTAATTTTTGGATATCCTAACCAAATTGAAAATCCCTGCCCCTCCCACTAGCTGAAATCGTTCTGCATATGCATTGAATATCGGCCATATCGATACGAAAAACATTTCGAATATAAGATATATTTTATTTCAATAAATGCTCTC